AATAGCGCGCTCCCCGAATCCAGCCTAAATCGTTCGCAACTGTCGTATCAAGAGACACGGTAGTGTTTCGTGCCAAGTACACGCGGAGCGAGACCGACCGTGACTCTTTTACGCGACGCGACGATTTGCGAGTACTCGAGATGTTGAGATCTCGATAACGAGTGAACGGATCAAATTCTAAATAGGCTTGATCGATAGCTTGGGTCGAATTAGGGGGTGGGGGAGGGGGTATCTCCTATAATATTTTTCGCTACGTGCCCTATATACATATATATCTTCGCCGACTTCACCTCGACGTCTCCACCTCGACATCTCCTTCTCGAGCGAGCGATTCGCGGCGATACGTTTATTCCGACAAACATTCAATACACTCGCAAATTATTGAACGCATATGGCACGTACCCGGGTATCTGGCGACTATTCCCGTGGCCCGCGGAACGAGGAGCAGGAGTGCAGGAGTGCCAATCGCGGAAATTAAGCGCGTTCCGAATAACACACACAGCACGGAGCAGGGTGACGGGCGCGCGGAGCACAAACACTTCCTACCTGTGCGAAATTCATCGGGAGAACGATAGCCAAGTGATTTTCGCAGATGAAGATACTTGGAGCGTTGACGGAAACAAATGGCAAGGCCACTCACCTGCAAAAATAATCAATCGCGCGGTGACTTTGAACGTACGCTACTTTCAAAACGGTCGCACTTAGTACAACTGTATCTGGGTCGCGCCGGCGCGCCGCGGCGGCTCGGAGCGGCCGAACGTGATTGGCCGGATTCGGGGGCTCGACTCGCGCAAGTACTACATATACATACCGTGACGTCGCCAGTCGGTCGGTCGGTCGTTCGGGAAGCGAGAAGTTGTGCCGCGTTTATTCGCATCTTCTCCACCGATAGAAGCAAGCGGCAAGCTCGCTGTGCGTGTCGGGATTGCCGCAGAACGATCGCGAATATCATAACGCGTTAATCGAGATATGTGACAACGACCGATGACTAATTCAAGTACACGTGATGGACGCGTTCCAACATCGATGCTCCGATATGCCGCTGCCGTATCGGACCAAGTGTAGCCGCTCCGCGTTTCTCGCGGCTTTTAACCGTCAAAATCGAATACCGCGTGCGGATGAGTGTCTTAAAATATTAAAGAACGATCGTGCGAGTGTTGTGGCACGTTAATTGAAGCGTGCAGCAGCGTTCAAGCGCCGTGTCGAACGCATATTCGATCGCGATCGTGTCGACCGTTTCGCTTAGAGGCCCTCTAGTTTCGCCCAACCTTCGTTTGAACGGCTGAACGCGCGCGCGCTTGCGTGGCCGCCATGATTGTCTCGCGCCGCCACATCCGGCGCCGGCGTCGGTCGGCAGTCGTCGCGTCGCAGGCAGTCGGTCGGTTTATTAGTCGGAATTCGGGACAGTGAAATTGCGCCGCGCTCACTCGCGTTTCTTCCGCCGTATTTCGTACGGGTTTCGAACGAGCGAGTGATTGTCGCGGGAGTGCCGAATTAAATCAGGTGTCGCGCGCTCGCGTCAAGTGTGGATTGTGATGTGCGAGGATCTTGGATCGGTGGCGAGGGTCGCGGCCGACGGAGCAGCCAGCGACGACGACGACGTGGGCAGCGAAGGGTGAGTCGATTCTTTCATGTTCGCATTTATCGTTTATTCACCTGCCACGATTAGATATCCGCGCTTTGTTTCGATCGCGCTCGGTCGAATTATCGTCGTGCCGCGCGGCGCGAAAGTGGTTAGGAGTGTTTAGGACTTGGGATAGGAACGATTTGAAGTTTACTGCGCGTACGCGCCGCGCGTGGTGCTCGCAGGGCGGCTCACTTTGGCCAAGTGTGCCAACTTATCGGGCGACGAACTACCGACACCGACCTAACCTCGATTCGTAAACAGGAGCGCACGTTGTGCGGATCGCAACGCCTGATGCCGGCGATCCAAAAATAGTATTTAACTTTGGCTGTGACATGTTTTATCGCGACGTTAATCGTCCCACTGTTAAATGTAACGATGTAACGGTGATACATTCCCACGCAATTCAATTGGAAATTTGGGAACGCGACGTACGTAGGTTAGGTTAACCAAAGTGCGTTTAGGTTAACCGAAGATGCCTTCGACGTGGCGTTAATTTTATACGTGGCATTTTTATTCAAGTTTAACGAGTTTCGCGAGAGTATTCCGGCACGTTTGCGAAACAACCATGAGCGTCGCCTCTCGGCTCGGTTACGCGAGACCGAACTATGAGATGTTCGTACGTTCCACGTTGATTATATTTTTCACGAGCACCGTGTTGCTTTTCCTGTATTTAAATCGCATCCAACCGGATTATTTTATCGACGAGGCCTTCCACATACCTCAGACGTTGCGATATTGCGCGTGGAACTTCACGCAGGTAAATAATCACGAGAATGATTTGTATGAGTGCGTCGCACTCTAATTTTCTAATTTTCATGAGAGAAATAAGTGGCAAATTATTTTCAGTGGGATCCTAAAATCACTACTTTGCCAGGCTTATATCTTATCGCTGCCGCGATATTATCGCCTTTCAATCTTTGCAATACCACGTATATAAGATGTATAAATTTACTTGGGACGTGCATAAATCTCTATCTCCTTTATAACGTTATAAAGGAAAATTGTAAGTCCAACAAAACGGACCGATGGAACACGTGGCTGATACTCGCGTCGGCATACAATCTCGTCCTTTTCCCGCCGTTGTATTTTTGGTGCTTCTTTTATTACACGGACGTTGTGTCCGTGAACGTGGTGCTCTTAATGTTGTATCTGCACCAACGTGAGCACACGAAGATGACGGCCCTTGCAGGTAATTATCGCAGTTATGTAAGTCATCCGAGAGGGAAATATGATGCAAATAAAAGTAATAAATCACACAGGTTTGCTAGGCGTGCTCGTTCGTCAGACGAATATCATTTGGCTCGGTTTCTTTACCATTGAACGCGCATTAGATATATTTGATCGCAGGATGGAACAACCTGTCCCGCCCGGAGTGCTCAGTACTCCGTTACACTTTCGCGTAAGTAACGTTACGAAATAGATATTACGAGCTACGAAGAGAGAGAATGCTTTTTTAGCCGAGAATTAATTTAGCAAAACTTCTTGAATCATTTTTTAGTTAATTTGGAGGCAGATAATGTACGAATTACGCATAGGTCCGCTGTCCCTCGTCAAGCTCGTCGCGCAGATATGCGCTAGTCTGCTTCCCCACATAACGGTATGTCTCATGTTCGTTGCTTTCGTTGCGTGGAACGGAAGCATAGTGATCGGCGATCGTACCGCCCATGTCGCAACGATCCATATCTGCCAAATACTCTACTTCTCCGCCTTCGTATCTCTGTTCTCGTGGCCGTACGTGGTGCCTCATTGGCGAACGTGTTCGCGATTCCTTCGTCGGCGCTGGATTCTCGCGAGCTGCGCCGCCGCGCTGACGGCCGCGACGGTGCGCTTCAACACGCTCGTTCATCCGTACGTCTTGGCTGATAATCGGCATTACTGGTTCTACGTGTGGAACCGATTCATGGGCCGACACGCGGCGTTCAAATATCTACTGATACCAATTTACGTCGCGAGCCTGTTCGCCATGTCGCGGAACGTCGCTCATCTGAGATTTCTCACGAAAATTAATTATACTATTTGCGTGTGCATGGTGCTGATACCTCAGTTACTGGTGGAACCGCGTTACTTCATTCTGCCGTACATATTTTACCGTTTAAACGTGAAAAGGCCAGAAAGGTGGCAGATCTGTTGCGAATCGCTCACGACCTTTGCGATCAATTGCTTGCAGTTTTATATTTTCGCCAGCAAGGTGTTCTACTGGCAGGATCAGCCCTATGCCCAGCGAATTTCTTGGTGACATTCGCCACGAGTGCAAATATACGAAATAATAAAAGAACTCTATTTCGACGTGAAGTATTCGACGCCTTCCTCCGCGTTTCTTTCTCTATGCGCGGTAATCGTCGATTTAGAAAGATTAAAAGACTTAAAGGGAAGGATTATTAAGAGAGATAATTACTTCGAACAATAGTTTATTGTTCATAACTGAAACTTGTGGCAAAACTGCTAAGATGTTTTTGTACAGCAACAGCTTGTCAATTTGTAATTTCACGGCACGTATATTATCGTCAGCGCACAATATATTATATTAAACGTGTTCGATCGACGACCGAGAACTTTTTATACTTCCTAATTTTTATTACGCTCCGTCGTATCGTTATCTTGTCGTTACATTAACGTTTTCTTATCGAATATAAATGTTGCGCGTAACGGTATAGTAAAAGGTACCGAGATGCAATTTGCGAACCTTCTTCGCTTATTCTAAAGTTCTTTTCTTATTTATATAGCAAAGAGCTTGAGAAAAGGCCTGATACCAAAATAAAAGTAAAAATAAATCAATAAAACGTAAATTCCGTTAAAATAAAAAAAACAGTAATATACGCAATTTTGATCCTGTACTCCAAATTTGCAAATATACTAAATTGAAAAAACGAATTAAATACTTCGTATTATAACGGTAGAAAATAGCGAGGGAAATATATATGTACTGTAATTCTCAATCTATGAAAAAGTGCTCCCATCCTCTCCAATTCTTTCAGACCTGGGTGTGATATGAATATACATATAACAAAAGATTGATTATTTCGTTTAGAAACAAAGACTTGTATGTACAACTTCCGGCTCTCGCATATACACTCAGCCTCTGGATTGCCGGAAATTTGAGCATTACCCGCGATGGAGGCGTCTTTATCCGCCTGTATCACGTAGAACCGATATACTTACTATAAAACAATATAATTATATATCACAAACGATCTCGAATCAACGCGCTAAGTACACTCTCTAGGATTTCTCAAAATTATAACTAAAACGTCTTACTTTTTCCCTACGTATTTTGATAAAACAAAGATAATCATTCACCTATCTATTTCTCTCCCTCTCTTTCTCTCTTTCTCGCTTCTCTCTTTCTCTCTTTCTCGCTTTTTTTTTCTCTCTCTCTCTCTCTCTTTCTACAATCTAACTGCGTGAGAATCACACATATTGCTTGTCGTAAGTTTATTGCGGACCGTATCCGTATAAATCAATCTGAAACGTAAATAGCGTATTTTCTGTACACAAACCTCCGCATATTCCGGCAGGATATGTGAGTGGGAAAAATCTAATGCCATCCCGCTTTCGACATTTGATTAATTTCTAAATAGTGCGATTATCCTATAGATATATTATTTATACATGCTATAGTTTCTCGACTTTTTGGTGTCATAATGACAATATATATATATATCTTATAGGACATGTGATAAATTATTATCATCCACACGCTGGAATTACGTCTATCGCTATAAAGCATCACACACTAGATAAAAGTAGATGAAGTATAGAGCACTTTCGGAAATTGAAGTGCCGTAAGAAATTATTGGGAACCCTTAGGAAAATATTTAAAATTAGCACCCTGGTCTAACTAATGACACGAAATTTTCCGATATCGATTTTAAAGACGTACGGTCGAGAATACTAGATATTATATATATATACATGTAACGCTACAAGGATATGAAATTTGACAAGAAAGAAACTTTTCTTGTTGGTTTTCCGCAGTCTTCCGAGCGTTCGTACAGCAGAACTCCTAATGCCCGAACTAATTAAGCTGACGGATAATTAGTATTATGATCCACGATTAATTGCTTTTTTATATAACTAATTTTTATATAACTTTTATGTAACTAATTTTATATAACTAATTTTTTTAAATATATAAGTTGTCTAATGACTGAACAACGTTGGAGAAAAACGTTGTTTTCCATTTAAATAAATTGTAATAATATACGGGAAATATTTGTATAAGTAAAGTGTTATATAGGAAATTAGATAAAGTTGTATATTTGATCTAATGTTGGTCGAATTTTTATAGCGATATGTTATATTAATGGAAACATTCGGAATTATCGAGGTTCCACTGTACAATCGTGATTCGATACTTCGACGACCATTCTGACGATGTCGTCGGCAGACAATCGAAACGGCAATCGATTCTTTAGATTTCGCATTCAGTGCACACCTCTCTTATTTCCTAGCTCTTTTTTTTTAATACTACCTAACTCACGCGAAATGTATTGTGCAAGAGGAATCAAACGTAGCTTTAAATATTATATGCCTTTCTAGGAAGTACATATTTTCTACGCACACGCACGCAAGTACATTGGTAACGGAAACGCTCGTTTATTTGATTATAATTCGCTGTTTTGTTTATGATCACGGCATTACAATGAAATAAATGGATTATATTATTAACGGAAATAAAAGAGCAGCGACGAGCGCAACTCGAGAATTAAAATTATCTCTATTCAGTCAAATACAGGACATTGTTCGATATTCAGTCGTAAAATCAATTTTTCAGATTCTCTTCAAAATCGGAAAAATGTATTCGGACTAAATTATGATAACTACGCGCATGCTGCACGTTCGGCATTTTATAAATGCTGATTTATGCCGATTTATGCTGAAAGCTAAATAAGTGTAAGTCAAAGATATCTCGTGCACTTCAACTTGATATTTTTTGATCGATAATATCTATCGAAGAAATTTTCATATTTTAACTAGAAATACTCGCGTAAATGATAACTTCTCTAACGTAATTGTTGACAAAGCTTAAGATTAAACTTCGATTTTCGTGCTTTGACTTTTAAACATTTATTTTCTTTCGAAGTTACGAGGAATTGTTATTAAGGGATACTTGCTCTAACTTTTTATCTCGTAATCGTCTATGCTTGCTAATCGCACGAAGAGGCGGGACAAGATTTGTTAAACGACGACGTTAAACATTATACTTGGTAATTAGATTAACGAGCAACGAGCAGGTTCCCCTAAAATCGCCTAGAGACATTTTCATCGTTCGATCGAATAATCTTTGACCTCGCGTCGTACTAGAGCAAGTTTAGGAATGGACTTCGCTATTTAGTAGAATGGAACAGAATAAAGAATCTATTTATAGAACTCGGGATATATCCCTCAGGTAGAATAAAGAAAGTTTAAGAGTTTAACGTTACAGCGAGTGACTCGTTTGCTTTCTTTGGTCGTTGATCTGCAGGGTGCGCGATTTCGCTATTTATGCGCGTTAAAGATACTTCGAAACCGCATGATTTTCGGCTAATAAACTCCACTATCCCGCTGTATTTATCGATTAACATTATTAATAAGGGATTTCACCTTTCTCTTCGCGTTCACATCGCTTCATGCGGCACGCACGAAAGCGGAAATGCTAAAAAGTAAGGATAATAGACGGTTTCGAACTCTAAGCGTGAATTTCTATGCACCTTATCGAGTCGCTGTGGTCATAGCGTTGCCCCGGGAATCCTACTTAACTTTTTTCCTTCACCGCGATATCCTTCCTCGGGGCAAGGACTGTCTTTGGGGCGAGCTACATTGTTGCGGATGTGTAAAAGGTGATAAAAAAACGAATCGTTTTACCGGCTATGCTTAAAGGTAATAACGGTTTTTCCCCTCTCTCGCCGTGAGAGAGAGAGGATAGATATACTTTTAGGCACTGAATCGCACAGTCTTCCGCACCTAGGAACTCCCCTGGAGTGACACCGATGAACTAGTGCGAAGGAGGGGCGGGATTACACACAAGATTCAGGTTCGAGTTCGCGCATCTTCGTTGTCCCGACTGACATCATACTATCTGCTGCTTAAGCTTCACCAGGTTCGTCGCGCCGTAAAGTTTCATGTCCAGCGGCGCGCTCGGCTCGTTTTTCTTCGTCTGCGTGTGCCAGGCGAGCACCTTGGTGCAATTGTCCGCCAGCAATTGAGCGTCCCGCGGCTCGAACGGAGCCAGGCTCTTCAGGAAGCCGTCCTCCTCGTATCCCGCGCGAAATGGCATGGTAGCGTTCGGCCGCTGGTGCAGGAATTTGACGCTTACGGCGAACCCGGCCATGTCCACCGGGAACTTCCGACCGGCTACCCAGCCATCGTAGAACCCGGCGAACTTGCCGTTTTTCAGGATCGGCGAACTCAGCCCGAACTTGGTGCACAGCCCCACTGGGAACATCGACACCGTCTTCGTCTTGCGAATCTAAAAGGCATGTTAAAAGATGAATCCTTTAGAAAAAGATTTTCAGGTCTTTAGCAAAATTAAAACACGCTTTCGTAACTGGTCATACCTCGTCGAAAAGTTCAATATCGTAAGTATTGTCGTCGTCGGCGAAGTAGAACACACCTCTCGTGGCGTTCGCCCTGATCCACTGTAAACCGCGATTTCTGTTCGATACCCCTCGCGGCTTGGCGCCCTTCTTGAGTTTGTATTTCTCCGGCATTGGAGCTGCGCAAATGTAATACAAATCATTCATATCGTACAGATAGGTATCTGTGATTTTGCGATACAGATTCGTATCTCGGACATTGATTTACCGATTAAATGATCGAACTTCAAGCTCGTTCTTTCCAATAATTCGGTCACTTGTTTGGTGGCGACGGTAGCGTCTTCGATGACGAGCCAGTGTATATTTCTCACCAACATCAACGTATGGGCCATCCTCGTGAGTTCGGGAATCTGCTCGGGTCTTCGATATGTGGGCGTGATGATGTACAGGGGTTCTTCGGACTCCGCGGAATTCGATGAAGGGGACGACGGGCGAGACGGCGGTAACGTCGTCGCCGGGGGTTGCAATTGCGGCGGAGGCTTGAAATTATTTCTAGAGGCCGCCGAAGCGTTTTTGCTTAATTGATTGATAAGTTCCCGCACAAGCATCGAGCTTATTTCTGGACTCAGGCCGTTCGTGATTTGTACTCGGTACACGGCGTATCGAATCTGTAAAGAGAAACGATATAACTTGTCTGACGAAGTATAGATCGTAGTAACAATTGCCATATAATAATAAATACTTTATCAGATAAGACGAGTTTCGTTTTCACGAAACCCTGATTGCACAGTAAATATTAATCGTTATTTTTTTACCATTTCCTCGGCGAGCCTTGGGGTTTTGCCATCGCCCTCCTCACCGATCGGCAAATCCCCGGCGTCGTCTGCGGAAGTATCGGCATTGAAGGCCGTTACTTGATCGAAAGTAACGCCGGTGGACAGGTGATACTGATAAAAGACTACGCAGATCCCTATCAAGGCGATCACTCCCATTTTCATGGACGGCTTCATTATACCGATGCCTGAATTCAGAAAGAGAAACGTTCAAAAATAACAGCGAGGATAAGAATAATATATTAATGCCAATAAAACGATTTTGACACAGTGACACGATAAAAAGTGAGTAAGGGGGAAAATGGATGATTTGATTAAATTTTTGAAAACGCGCATTAAGCTGTAACGTTTTTAATCTCGCTCGGGGGGAATGGGAGTGGAAGATGAATCGGGCTGTAGATTAAAAATTTACCACACCTCCAACTTACTCCACCAACTTTCCTGCTCTTGGCGGGAAGCAGTTACTCTCGCGTCCTATTCTCGTATCTCCTCCGGACTGTGAGTTTCCAATTTTAATCTGATTCACGGTTCAATCCCATTCCCGGGGAGGGGTGGGCACCCCATTCGCCGGGCATTAGCGTATATAAATGTATATCATGCGAATTTTATACGCGAATAAAATGTAAAATGTAAATTTAACAGCGAACGAAACGAAATACGAAGATTAACCGTGGAGAGAGGTCGGTGAATTAAAACCCGACGTTGCATTGAAACCCATTTCCCGCCGTTCGTATTAAAGCTCGACGCGCAAGATGATCCCGTTTCCGCGATGATCTCGAGCGGAAAACGTCGAGTTGCCATAATAGCCCGCCCGCCGGGCGCAGAAGGTTGAAACAAAGATGTGTTCACTCACCCGAATGCTACATGTGTCGGCTGTTCCGTCGTTTCCTCTGCCTCTCCTGAATCGCGAGCTGCTTCTTGCCCTGTCATAAAAGTAATTAGCTGTCGTAATGCCCGTGGTATCTTGCCGCAAGGTTTTTACATCTAGAGCAGGATGATATATACAGCCGCTATAAATTTATTACACTTTTTTGCGCGATTGCGAGAACTCGCCGGATGAAAATTCTCGGCGTGCGTGAATGAGCCTTACGATCATCGTGCCGATAATTACGACTAATCGCGACTGTTTACGCGAACTTAATTACAATTCCCTGACGCGCTCGCTAAGTCCGCTTTGCAAACGTGAGCAACGGCCGGGCCGATTCTGGCGCGATCGAAGGGACAGTCCTCTCGAGGTTTAATTATTTTCGTGGGTCATGTGGCATTTCCCGAAGGCCCGGATTCGCTCGGAGGAGGCGAGGAAGGATGAAGAAGAGGAGGAAGAGGAGGATGAGAGCGCAGGCGTAGCGACTAAGCCGATAGCGCGGTCGCCGGAAGAACATCCGTCAGGATCCCGCGGACTTTGGCGATAAAGCGTGCGACGTTTAAAGCGAAGGACCGTCGCCGTCGCTAACGAGCGACGATAACGTTCGAGATTTATCTAACGAACGAGAGACGCGAGATATGCGCGCGTGTTTGCGGGTCTCCCGTAGGATGCTGCGCGTGAAACCAGAAATCCTCTGTGGGTAGCGTCATAATTTCAACCTGTCTTTCTAATAAAACTCCTTCCTCCTTCTTCGGCGACTGATCTCGTGAGAAAGAAAGAGAGAGAGAGACGTGCATCAATTTTATTGCTCTCGCGCTATTTCTTCTCCCCGATACCAAGCGGCCCGCGTTAGCCGCGTCTATCATTAATAACCGTCGTCTTCCATCCGACGTATCGCCCCCTCGCAATTTTATAGCCTCTTTAGCGCGCGAAGATAATAGACGTAGTTCAACAGTATTCACTATGATGTACAATAACGCGTTAGGAGCTAGGAGCAACTCATTTAATCCTTATCTCTGTTATTCTTCACAGGATCCTTTCTAACGCGCTGCAGCGTTGAGAAGAAATTTTATCTTATCGCCGTTTTTTTCCGTTATATTCGTCACTTCGTTAAACGAAGAATACGACTTTGAAAGTCGATAATGGCGTCTTTTGAACGTTACACGACGTAGCCTGAAAATGCTCTCTTCTCTAATTTACTTTCAACGTGTCGCTATCGCAACGTTCTTACGTAAACCCGCGTCATGTGCAGGACGGCCGTTCTAAATTACGTGACACCGAGAATTTAACGCCGTCTCTCCCATATCGCGCATCACAAACGCACTCCTTTTCGCCTCACCTGGCGACGTCAGCAGCAAAAAAACGTAAAGCCGACACCGATAAGATGTACCGTCTTTATCTTGCGCGTCGAATTGCGCAGCACAAAGCGGCATTTCGTAGCAAACAACAATCGCGGAAAATACCGGAAATTCACCGTTTAAAAACATACGCCGATCTATATATATAAAGATATTACCGATCAATCTCAATTATCAATGTGATACAAATCCGATCTTGACATTTCTAGTCTAGAATAGGTGAAGCGCGATGACTATGTCCATCTTGGTAAAAGAAAGAATACGTGTGAAATTCTCTCTTCATTATATTAGTGCTAACATGTTTAAAAATCTGTTTACATTTCTGAACGTCCCTTCTTTCTCTTTCTCTCTTACTTGAAACGCTCTCGAACTTATCTGTCAATTTTCTGATAAGATTTCTGATTTTTTGAAAATCTCGAGGTGACGGATGCGAAACGTTTTTCCGTCGCCGCGATAGTATCTTGTTAAAAGGAATGCAGGTTACGAAAGTAAGTGACTGCCTTTCGTAACTGGCAAAACCCGAATCGGTAAATCGAATTGGTAAATGCTCGACGCGCGGCCCAAATGGAAAAAGCAAATCGTTAAATTTGCTTTGGTAAATTTCGGTTTAACTAAATGGCGGAAGAAGCGGTGATCGATCGTCGTAATTAAGCGCCGCGGCAAATGCGTCTAATTCAGCGTAACGCGGCTTCCTCGATAAATTGTGAGGCGCCAATAAGGTTTCTTAAATGCACTTATACTTCAGAAACACAAACGTTCGATCGGTGCGAATTATGGACGGTTCAATGTAAGTACATGGAATTTGTAATATCGTTGAAGCACGGTTAATATAACAGGATTTTATAACCGCGTCCGATTATTTGAATTTCAAGTCACCTGCCTGGGATTATTTGGCTGCCGCGATTCGCTTTACAATGTGCATTGAAATGTGTGTGAAGTTTTTCCGAGAAGACCTTCTATTGTAAGGTGCAAACAAGGTCTTAAAAGTTTACAAACACAGTACTGTGTAAAAGACAGAAGTTTATCGATTGTGAAACCTATGTAGCTGTAGAAAAGGTTTCGTCATATATTTATCCTGTCCCCTTTAATATTTTCTGAATTAAAATCCCATTACGTTATTGCAAAATCGATGTATATTGTTTTCTAGCGAGGAAAGTAGCGCACAGAAAATTGGAAAATTAATCTCAGTAAAAATAAATTGTCGCTCATAATTATTCTTCGCGAGATGCGATCTTTCGCTGAAACGATTATCATGCAGATTTATGAGGAAAATATTTAATTATGCATCTGCGTCGGAAATAGAACACAAATGGTATCTATATTTTATTTAGCTTTAACGATCTCTTTTCGAACATCCAACATATATGCGCAACGATCATCACGCGAAAAACTTGACGATCGATCGGTCTCGCGCATGCAGAATTATTTTCGATCGGTTATTGATCTTGTCGATTAATAATTACAATGGCTGTCGTGTTTCGCCAGAAATTTCGCGTTGTTACGCGAGCTTTTGAAATCAGGGCCTAAATCACGACTGTGATAGACGCCATCGCGCCGCGGGGATTCGCATAAATTACTAATTAGAATGCGGGAAACGAATGGCCCAGCTCGAGGGGATTCTTCTTGCTTCGCTTCCGTGCTCCGCTTGCATGAGAATTTCATGGCTGATCAGCTCGCCCTAACTAATCCAGTGCCGCCAGATAATCTAGATAGGATCGTTAGTCTCTAATCTAAATCAGTTTGCAAATCGGCGCGGCATCAACGAGGCAATTTACCGTCTGATTTAATCAGAGACACGTTCACGTTATTGAACCGTGTATACGTATACGTGTGTAAAAAACGAACGTGGCGTGTATTCTAGACTCTGGACTCGCGTGTGTAAAAAGTCGTGACGTTTATAGGGCAAGGGATTTACGTTTCGAATCAGTTCGGTAATCCTGGTTTCGTGCAAAGGTTTGTCCTGTTATTAAGATTGCAGAGAACCGGCTGCCTCTCGCGCGCCATTAATGAGAAACGAGCCTAATCCCTCGTTCGAATCCAAGTCACGATTATTATGCGGCGTTTTTTTTTTCTCCGCGCCGTTCAAGGTGCACGCGGCCGCGGCGGCGTGCAACGAGATTGCGTTCGCGTATACTTATCCCAGTAGAAACGCCGCGATATCGCCAGACCGCGCCAACTCGGTCGAAACTTTTATATCGCGCACTTCCCACGGCATGCGGCACTCCGTTAAACACACGTCGCTCCAAACTCCGATTAATTAAATCTCCCCCGCTTTAGAATCGAGGAACCGAACTAACCGAAATTTTAACGGCTTCGACAGGAACGCGAACATTCATTATCAAGTTAATGCCTCGCAGCCAACCTCGTTTGCATTAACCCAGAAAAATCACATTATCTATCCTCTCCTTTCCAAGTCTCACGTGCATGTGTATTTTAGCGTGCGCACGCGTGCGCTTATCGCGGTGTCCGCAATTTTATTTGCAGTTTTTATTTACGTCTCACGAATCTCCTCGAACTGTGCGCCGAACTGTCGGCGCAACCTCGCCGTATTCCCTTACCTGTGAAAATATACGTTTTGCATGTGCAAATCGCGGGATCGGTTTTCCACAAGTGATAAACACGCCGCGCCGGTTTGACATCGAAGCCGCGCGTGCGCTTTGCGCGGTCTTTAGAGCTAATAAAACACGCGTTACGTTCGCCGTTATCGAGCATTCCTTAAAACTCTTGGTATATATTTAAGATATGATATTTAAAACATCCGTTATACGCGTAATTGCCTCCGAAGCAGGAGTTAGCATTAGAATACCGATTCCGATTTCAGCGCGTAAACGCGTCGCGATAGTCGTTATATTTGTTCAATCGTTTATCGGTTTATACTAACCGCCTCGACTCGACGGAAACCGGAGCACGATAAATGCGCCGATTAATCGCAGCTTCCTTAACCAGAACCACTTATCACTCGTAGGCTTCCGCGTAGAGCCAGACAAATTAACGCACTCATCATCGTGGCGCGAATCAATTTTTCACCGAGCCCGGCCGGCGCGTTCTAATCGCTCCGCGGCCGAAAGAGGAGCGCTCCGTTTCCGGAGCCGGGTCTCTCTTCGGGGCATTAATCAGGCCGCTCCGCTTTGCTGGCACTTGACCCAGTTGACCCGATCCGGGAGATCTCGCGGAATCGGACGGAACGTTCGAAACGCGCATCTCGGTCGAGAAACGTGTGTCTTACTGGTAGCACCGTCCCATCGGAGTCACGCGACGGCACCGACAATGACGACGAGAACGAGGCCGACGAAGACGAGGCCGAGGACGGCGAAACGGCGACGCAATCACGGCTGACTCGACACTGAAACGTTTCCTCCGGTTTCGTTTCCTCCTACTCGCGTGGCCACTTCTATAACGTCGTTCGTAACATGCCCCACCACGCCGATCGAAGGACCGATCATCGTACGAGGGGGAGAGAGAGAGACGCGTGTCCCACGTGTGCGTGCTGCGCACGATCCACGGATCAGATCACGTGGCAGAATCTATTAGCAGATTGCGGTAATTTGGCGCTCAGTACAACAGCGCAGTAACGCGTTTTCAGGCCGGCGAACGTTTAACCCGCCGACGCCGCGACGTGCCGACGTCGATTTTCACCTCGTTCGCAAGAGGCGTGCGCGATATAATCGAGCTAAGTGAACGCCGTTTCTAATCAGATTTGGAAATGAGAGAAAGGAAAGAGAGAGAGAGAGAGAGAGACGCGAGAATACGTTGCACAGATTTTTCCATCGTGCACGATATTTATACCCACTTTTCCACTTGTCATGCAGAACCTCGTAAAAATATAGATGACATACGTTATTCCTCGCCCATATATTTCCGAACGTGATGTTTTACAATAGAATCCAGATCGAAGCCGCGGACAACTTTAGAGAACTTTACGAATAATACATTCGACCCGCTCGCATATCAGAGTTTCCGATCTTTCCGATATGTACGATTAGCCCCTTAAAAATACGGCCGCCTACGTATGAGGGCTTAATATTGGAAGTATGTCAAACAACGACGGTACATATGAATTATTTTATTCGGCAATTTTATTCTAGGAATTATTTCTATCGATGTTTTCTGTAAAAGTTGGATCGAAGGATATAGCTGTACGTGTACCCGATGCCTCTCGGGTACATCTATAAAAATAGAATTTAAAAGTATTTCAGGATTCCCCAGCGGTGTTACTGTCGAGCTTTTTATCGGTTCTGTCAAACGTATATGTATCGCTCACGTTTCTGTCCCGTCGCGTCGCCGGCAAATAAAACAAAATAGGAGAACAGCCCCCCCACGTCTTCATTTTATAAAGCAAGCTTTACTTCTCCCCAATGTAAAGCTCCGCCCGACATTCTCTTTGCACGAAAGACATGAAATATTACGTGCGAGGAATTGTCGCGACGCGACGCGATGCGACGTATACGTCGGCGTAAAGCCCCTCGTATATATCGAATTGCCAAGTTCGTGCGAATCGTGCGTGCCGCATTTCTCACGTTCTCGCGACGCGTTAAAAACGCGTTGTCAGCGATCTCGTTAAGCGCGGAATATCGCGCGGCACGAATAGCCCCGGCGGGAGCAATTTTCGTCGCGGCGATTAGATGCAACGCGGTTAATCTACCGGAATCGTGCGAGGCGCGCGGAAAAATTCATGAGTTCCTCTCGTATTATTAATCTTCCAATTAGCCTCTATAAATGCGCGACGTGTCGCGGCAAATATATTCCACCCGTTTTGCGTTACGACGCCGACGTTATCGGATAACATTGTAACTTGCATTCGCCGTGCCTCGGAAGCTTACGCTAACGGCGAAAATGATACGATACCGTGCACGGCGGCACGTGCTCGCGATTGCCAACACGCGAGAGAGAGAGAGAGAGAGAGAGAGAGAGAGAGAGAGAGAGAGAGAGAGAAGCGCACACAACGTGTACCTAGTAGTATAATGATCAATAACATGGTAGAAATGAGGCACTGGTCGGTGGTGAAGGACGCCGACGAGAGACCGTTCCCGAATAGATAAGGCGCCGAGTTATCGTTCGACGGGCAATCGAATTCGTTCTTACCCCGTGTGACCCGAATAAATAATTAACCGGGACGCAAAATCACCTCCGTCACCGATTGATCGCGATCGATTGATTAAATATTAACAGCCTCCGCCGCAAAGGGTAACCCAAGACACACGGCGGGGTTTAATTCTATTAAAATTTCCGGTATCACTCGAACTCAAGTGGATGGCAAATACCTGATAGCGTATCAAACATATATACACATCATGCTACTATGTAGGTGGCTTTACATAGCGATCGAGTGCTAACAAAGGATGCACTCAACCGTATTCAAGTATTAGACTGTGTCTTCATTCACTTTATGTATACTCATTAGATAATCGGCCGAAAGAAAGTTTTGATGCCAGTTGGCGAAGTATATCGTCGACGTTTCTGCAGTACGTACTTAGTTATATCCCGAAGGCTATATGTAGAACGAGAGTTCGGATCCGAATAAAAATCACACGAAAGCAACACAACATTTCACTACCTAGACCGGTTCTTTTTTTTCTCGGGTAATCCGCCACTATGTAAACAACGCTCGCGCCGCAGACGATGCGAGGCAGGATATAGCGCGGAAGTTTGATCGATTCAAGCCGGACGAATTTCGGGGAGGATATTTGTGCAAACTACCCCCTCGGTTCCGCATTCGCTTTCCGAGCACGTTGCCGGCCTAGACGGGATATTCTCGGGGGCGCAATCTCGCGAGGTCGCGCAATTTCTAACGCAACTTTCGGTATCAGAGGAGGCCCCGGCAACTAATAAGAAGTTCCCGCCGACCGGTCTGCACCGGTGTGTAGCCTTCTATGGCGCCCTTTGATTTGGAGGGCACATGGCCACCCTGCTGCTGGTCGATAACCACCGCTCGACAGACACCATGCGATTCTCCCTCTCCCTCTCTCTCTCTCTCTTTCGGTTTTGATACCCGTTTACCTTCCCTCGATACCTCTTACCTCTTACCTATAGCCACTCATGGGCGTCGGCAGAGTTTTTCGCGCGAGCGAAAACAAGATAACGATGAAATCTCTAAAGCCAATTCGAAGAAAATCATACACCTATAAATACGGTCAATGCCGTCTTGCTCCAGGATCCCCTTAACCGGAACAAATAATAAAATACATTAGTCATGTTTGATGAAAGATAAAGAGAATACGCAGAAGAGCAACAACGAAACACTTTAATCTTCGTTCAAAAAACTTTTCTAATTTCTAACTTTATTTTATTAAGGTTTGACGAAAAAACGACAAGCTTCTTGTCTAAATCTAGTATAAAAAAAAAACCAATCATACACGTGTATAATCATACACGTAACTCGAGCAATTCAATTATGAATCGTACAAAGTAAAGATGATTAGGGGTAGTAATAATTAAGTAAAACGTGAGATACCGTGGATGGTGAGACGGCAATTCAGTTGGAAGAGCGAACGAGGGTATAATGGGAGGAGCGGATGTCGGCGCGTTAGGTTTCTCCCTTGAATGGGAGAAACTTCGGCATGCTTGAATAGGAGGAACTTCGTTTAAACACGTTTATGCACGTTATCGATTAGAGCGCTCGTGGTCTGCCTAACAAAATAGCGCCTTTTAATGAAACTTTTCTCCATTCCTCGCGTCTTGAACAACCGGAGAAGATTGTAAGGTGCATCCCCTATGGATTCCGCTCACGGCGCCCATGTGTCTCCCTTTCCCTACCCGTCCTCTTTCTCTTCTCCAGTCCTCTTTCACTCTCTTTCACTGCCATGTTCCATCCATTTCCGTCCGTCCCACCTTCGTCGTCATATTGATCGTGACTTATAATACCAACGTATGATGTGTAATGTTGTAAATCGGGTTATCTCGCCTGCCATCTTTCGACAGAGGCCTTCCGTGACCGATCCAACGGAAGCGACGCGACATGAAGATTACGATGGGATTATTGATAAGGGACAGTTGGCATAGTGCTCGGAAACGTGTACTCGATAAGCCGACTGACGATCGATCAAGGTCGCGTCTATCTAGCAGAACGTCTAATCAAATGTCACCACTGCATTTTTGTCATTTTGTCAACATTATTATCTCTTCTGTGAAAGAAGAGAAAAAAATACCGATAAATGTATCAGATTGCGTCGAGCGATGTTTGTCGAAGTATTTTTTTTCGCAAAGTGAAGATCCGTAGATTGATAATAATAGAATATGTGGTTATTTACTCGTACATATTAGATCAAGAACGACTGTATCGCGCGTATTTTTGTAATTCAGTTCGTTCGATCGAATCTAATTATCCTTCAATACCCATCGCGCGCGCCGGAATACGCGAGCTCCTTCTTACGTAATGTCTTGTAATTTCCTCGGGGAATTCTTCCTCTCGACCTGCACGACCTACTCCACTGCTTGTGTCGCAAACGAGAAACGATCAATCTCTACTTTTCGCTAATTACGACTCCTGGAAAGAGATCTTCCCCGGGCTCTCCCCTATCCGTCCCCCATAAATCTTTGGTTCGAGTGAACCAAATCGCCACGTTTGACGGCGATTTATTCGCCGACCCTCGTATTCTCCCCCTCCCCTTAGGCCAATCCTGGCCAATGTCCTTACCGGCGTTCTCCAGGACTTCTCGATAAGTTAAGCCGGCTAAATACATTTCCACTTCCTTTATTGACCTTCCGGTATCAACCCACCCCCGCGGTAGCAACCCCACTCTCTCAGTAATCGGCACCGCGTAAAGGTAGCGCTACGGTCGCGGTCGAAGACCATTCACCACCGCAAATGGATTTGGATGGATATTAAGGATAACCGGAACGCATTGATACCGAACGCGATCGTTAAACGTACACCGGTTACCGGCCCCGTTGGTTCTTGTGCTCGGACCCCCCGATTTCCCCCCTGGATTCGAGCGACGCAGATACCTAGCCGGGACAGTTCGCTTCTGGGAACTGCGGTTGAGGTTAAGCCATCGGGTCATTAATCCAAATTAATCCCGGCGATCTGTCAGAGTAATCAACCTTGGAACGCAAGATGTTGGCGCGCTTCAATCTACCCCTAACGACGTTGGACTCTCTTACGAAAATCTCTCTAGCTCGCGCAAGAAGATTCGAGTCTCTACCTAAATTGAACGTCGAAATACTGCTAAATACGATCGTACAAGTAACATCGAATGCAGTTTTACATTATTAAAACTCAAAGTTTAACGTACTCGGGCCTAAGTACGATTCGCGATCCACGAGAGAACATTGAGTGCAACATGCACATTCACATTCGACGAGACGTGAATGCGGTGCCCTATCTCCGCGAAACCGCACGGTCTCTCCGCGCGTGTTAATCACGAGCAGATGTTTCTCAGCTTAATCCA